GAATTAACATAATGGTATAGAGCTGTCATAATGTGGTTTTTTTTAATAAATACTTATAAAATAAAAAAAATTAGACCGTGTAAAACTCCCCCGATTTTGGCAGCAGTCAGATACGCTTAATCTTTCAGCATTCAGCAAACCAACTTGAAGAGTAAGGAAAGCGAAGCAGTTGCAATTGAAAACTTGTCACAAGTGTCATCTAGCAATGCATCTTAGTGTAAAAATCCACTTTGCATTGATTTACGTATCAGCAGGCCCCCTGCAGTCATAGAAATTGCAAAAGGAACACTGTGCCTTCGAATGCCAAAGAAAGCCCTGATAACATAAGCTGCTTGGTCATCCCTTCAGTAACTTCTCCAAAGTCAACTGAACTGGAGGATGGAAACTTTCACCCCGCAGTTTATAGAGATTTAGGGGACTGCTGAGGTCCGCATTTTTTTTTTTGGAGGATCCTCAGTGACAGACATACTGTAAACTTGAAGTAACTTGCTTAAAAGAACTTTCTCTCTGCAGCATGTGTAACTTAATTTGGATCAGATGAAAATGCAGCTTGTTTTAATTTAGGGGAGAGAAGCCTCAATGTACCAGGTCCCATAAGAACAACGTTTTGTCACCTACATGGGCTAGTAAGAAGGACAGGAGAGACAACAGACACTTATTTTATCTATAATACCGATGTGATAAAAATGAAAATGGTGCCTTAGCGCTACAGATGTAAAATTCATTTCCCTCTCCCTTCCTGGGTAACCTGCCTTGACCACACAGCCATGGGGCTGATCCTTTCCCCTGTCAAAGTCACAGGGACACATCAGGGCGTAAAGCTCTGTCTGAAGGAACTGCTTTGTAGGAACATGGCACAAAGCTAAAGAAGGCCAGGAATTAAATGCTAGCTTCATTAAAGCTCATGGTAAAATTCCCACGTAAGCCTTACGGAGCCAAGATTTCAGCCCAACTGCCAAAATACATTTGTGAAAGACCTGAAAGACACATTTTCCTGAGGAAGCTTCTAAGAGTTATTGTAACAGAAACAATAACCAATAATGATGACTCTTATCATATAGATAAGACTACATGTCTACATTTCTCTAAATTAAGCGCTTCTTCCAGACTGTTGGCACTCTTTATTGCATATTGCCGCTAAGTCCCAGAGTTAACCTTTTCCCTAACTCATCCTCTACCATAAAAGCAAATTATGCCATTAACATAAGCTTAATGCTTTTGCTGCTAGAATATGTGAAGGGTGAAGATGGACAGGCAAGACAGCTGCATTCCTCTGCCCCATGCACACAGCTCAACTCGCCGGATCGCTCTGCATGTGAGCCAGGTCCACAAAGCCCAGCCCTGCTCTAGAGACTTGCCCAATTCTGCACCCATCGCACCTCTACGATGCTGAGCTGAGGTCAGCGTCAGCAGGAGCTCTGAATGCACTGAAGAAGCAACCAATAATATCAGTAATAATGGGCACAGATGGCTGAGAACACCTGAGAACACTGCCCTAAGGACGGCCCTTATTAAAAGTCCAAAATACTAATGGCAGCAAAAGGCAGTCACCTTAATGGGATTTAACCCAGTGCTCTCACAAAACACTTCTTCTCTCAGCTCTGCAAAACACCTGGTGTTCTTAAGATCCAGGGCACAGCCAAGGCTGTAGCGAGATTGTATCAATCTTTGTGAGCCTCAGATAAGACCTTTACTCGATATATTTTCACTGTGCTTTAAAAGACAAAAAAAAAGAAAAAAAAGAAAAAAAATTGCAGAGAATGCACTGAGATAACCCTGAAGATAGGTCTGTGTGTCCTGAGGGCTCGTCCCTTTTTACCAACCACAGCAGCTGGTCTAACAACAGACCCCACTTCACCCCACAGACTTTGTCTCTCCTCTAGTGGAGCTCAACTGTGATGTGGGCAAAGAACCCGCAAAGCGGCTTAGAGGTTACCATCCACCACCAAATGCTTTGGGAAGCACCTGCAGCCTGCTGCTGGCCACAAAGCAAAGTATGCTGCGGCTCTGAAACAAGCTTCACAGTGTAAAGTCACCTCCAAAAGAGAGGTTCCCTGGGCAAAAGGATGCTGCAGGACCCCTCCGTTGCTTTAGCCATTGCTCCATCCTCCCCCAACACATTGGCTGGGAGAGGAACGTCCAGCAGGGCAGCCCACAAATCCCACCCCTCCGTACAGAGGGCAGAGGAGCCAACCCGTTCCCTTCTACTCAGCTCTTGGATGCTTTGCTCACAACTGACTCACTGTGAGCACTTCTCCCATAATTTTACCCTGATTTGTAGCCAAAGCTGGGGTGAAAAGGAAAGGTTCACAACATTCCTAAACAAAAAAACGCCTGAACGATGCTGAGAACTGAACATACAATTGCTTTTAACACCAGGCTGACCACCATACCAAGCCTGCGCACCGTGTCCCCACTACGTCAGTCCTGACTTTCCACATTTTAGAATTACTGCAATTTTGCCTATAAATTCTGTTACTCAGATCCATCTCTAGCACCTCTTGAGTAATTTGTCTTCACCTACATTTCATTTTTAAACCATCGCTTCCATTTCACCTGAAGAAGAGCCTATCTGCCCAAATACCTGTCTATTTTTTCCAGCCATACCTGTTGCCTAACAGAAGACATTACCTCCATCTATAAACCCGGTTGTTAAGAAAAGATTTATGGTCAAGAAGTAAAATTGGATTTCGTAAGTGTGAGAAAGCTCAAAAGAGAGCGTTCTTTAACCAGGAAAGGTGATAGAAGGGCTTTTTTTTGAGGATGCTGAAGATGTATTTTAAAAAACAACCATTAGTCTCTCCTTCACCCCGTTCCTCAACTTGACAATGAAAAATCTCTTGGAAACTGGTGAATCCAAGCAGAAAAATAAAACCCAACAGACAGTCAGCAGACCAAACCCTTGCCTTCTACCAAGCACTGGCAGGAAATACTTGATCCAGATTTGCTCTACCGGACACCATTAAGTTTGGACTAAACAGTGCTGGATCCAATGAAAATTACTATTTCTATAAAGAACAAACAAGGCTATGGTCCGGATGACAAAAATAACAACTAGATCATGTTTCAGGGCACAACACTAACCACTTACATGAGTTAAAAACAAATTCCCAATCCACTTTTCACCTTGTTGTCCAATGGGGTAGATTTGCCTTTGTAGCATCATGCTTAGGCATCATCAGTGGCAGAGAAAAAACAGAATAAATGACCAGATCAGCATGATTTATGCTCCCGAATTAGACCAGGTTAACAACTGGAGGGCAATACATGCATGAAAAGTATAATGTTCAAAAGCCTTCTGAGCTTTTCCAGTTTTTGACATCTCAAAGCTTTACTGAGCTTTCACCAGGGAGGACATGTGATTTAATTAGAGCATGATACAAAGCATGGCGATCCCAAACCGTGTTCCCTGCTCTGACACCAACTTGCCGCATGACCTTGGGAAAACAACTGTGATGCCCTGAGCCTCCGTTTACTCCACAATTCAAAGAACAGATTGGGAATGCTTCTGTGTGTCCTCTTCCACAAGGAGCTGTGAAGTGTAATTAAATTCCACCCAGCATTTTGAAATTGACAGAGGGAAAGTGATATATAAACCCCTACTAATTAACCTTGGATTTAATATTCTGGTAAATAAACACACTATTGTGGGAAACTAGCTCTTAGTGACCGTGCAGCTCCGGAGCTGGATAGGGAGTCAGCTGCTGACCACAGAACTGACACAGGCAACATGAGAGGGACGAAGCTCCCCAGAAAGGGTTGATGTCTTAATACATGGCCGGCAGTTTAACACACAACATTTTAAAACAAATTCTAGGTCCTCATCCCACTCCTGCTCCTGGGGAAGTCAATGAATCACTAATTCACTACCTGCCATCAAAACCAATGTCAAGCCAGCACACCAGACCACGTTAGCGTGAATGTGAGGTAAATCCGGGATTGTGCAGCAGAAAGGTGGAAGGGAACGCTTTTCAAACATCACATTAGTGTCTTGATTAATAATACATTTGGCAACTTTTCTCAGTGCTCTGCTCACCTGTCCCATTCCCATCCCCAGTTGCATGCTGGCACAGCAGTGCTTTGGTACGGCAGGCTCGCCCTAAACCTGGGCTGTCCAAGGAGGTATCTTTTAGCAGATACAAAGTCAAGGTCTTTTAGTGGACTTCATTTGTGCAAACATATGTTTCAGTAGTTATGTGCCAGCACAAAAGCTACGTAAAAAAGGAATGTAACTAGCACAAGACTTGTCTAAAGCAGCATCTACATTAATATACTTAGAGAGATGGTCTGCAACCACATCGGAACTTTAATGGAGCTGTATACAGGACTTTCGGCCAGTGCTTTGCCCTGGATGAAAGCATAAAATTAACTCTAGCAGCAAGGCGTAATTTGATGGCCATAGGGTCCTGAACCAGTCCTATAAATAAATATTCACCTAACAGAGGAGCCATAGATGAGCAGCTCCAGACATTTCTTCACATATTTACTGAGCACAGGATTTACCATTGTCAAAGCCACAGTCACTCCCTCATCCTCCTTCCCAGTACCTTTGCCACAGACTTTAAAGTGTCACAGAATTGCATAGACTTTGAAACACTGAATGACAGTGGTGGCAAGCCCAATTATTAAAGAACTAAAGAACAAGAAGAGGGAAAACAAAATGACCCGACAAGCAGAGAGGATATTGGAAATGTAAATGATGGCTACTTATCTTCCGTACGGGCTCACAAAAAAAAAAAAAAAAAAAAAAAAGCTACAAATTCATAGGACCGATAACGACATAAGAAGTGAGGGAAAGGACCGCGGAGGGCAGGCAGGCTCCAGCGGAGCCCGGCGGGTCACGACAGCCCCTCACCCCGGGCAGACCCCGTTCCTTGAAGGCGCCGCTTTGGCACAGACCCATGCCGCGCCCCGAGGAGCCGCCGCGGGGACGGAGGGACGGACGGATGGATGGATGGACAGACGGACGGACAGAGGGATGGATGGAGAAGATCTCTCACCGCTTGAGCGCCGGACGATGTTCTCCAGGAAGGTGTTCTGCGGTGCCACCAGCCCTCTCTTGCCCCCCGGCATCCTGCAGCGC